TGTCAACAGTCCTCTAATCTAAATCCGAGGTGGTCCATAAACAAGGGTTACATTTTTTGCAGTTTTTAACTGTTACACTGTTGTCCTTTACACTATGTGGATGTTTTGTGACACTCAGCATGCTCTTCAGATCTTTATTTATACTAGCAGCTCTATATAGATGGCAACAAAGTGCTTTAGTATGCAGTGTACTTTTTGAGACTGCTCCCTCCAGTGGTTGCTAACTATCTGCTGCCTGTCTTGTTTCTACATTTAAAATGTTTTAAAGACCACTGCGTGTCAGGGTCATTGTGTGAGCCCTGAAAGGCAGACAAAAATATATATAAATAAAAATTATTTGGATTGCTCCCTTAACATCCACTTGAACAGAACAGTATATATGAACACATTATTGTAGTGATAAAAAAAGAAACAATCTTACATTTACATTTTCAAGTATAGTAAGTTGGGTTAGGATAAAGAAACAGCAACACTGTCAGCACTTTTCTCAACGTCACAGTCTTTTTCTGATGGTGCAGAGACGGGCATATCTCTGAGAGAGTTTGGGCCACTGCTCGTCTGCCCTACTCCTTTGTTTGGGAGGTCTGCTGTCGATTCAGCCTCGGGTTCTTGCTGTGGAGCTGTGGCTACGAATAGAAGAAAAGTGAAGAACACACATTACATCTTTAAAACTGACAGTATTGAAGTAGCTGTCGTTAATGCAGCCAAGTAAAGGAATGGAGAGTTAAGAGTTGCCAAAAGAAAAAACATCTTCCTTGTTTGTGTGAATGTTTTCAACATCATTTTGAGTCTGGCACATGCTTTTACCTGACTGTGTGCAGGACTTCATATGCTCCGGCCAGTGGGCTTGCTGACATGGGTAATCACAGTAGCTTGTGTTCCAGCAGCAGTAGAAGATGGCTTCTTTCCTGCAGTTAGCACACCACTGTTTCTTCTTTGTCTCATCCACTGCTTGTTGTTTCTCCAGCTCTATCTGTTTCTTCACCTCAGTCACCAACCGCTCCCTCTCCTGCTCCAGACTTTGCCTCATCTCTGCCATTGTCAGCTCTAAATTGAAACACACAAACACGATCAAATACAAGTAGATCTCATGACACTGGGAAAAGAGGTACACGTGTATTTTTATATTCCCCTACTCACCAAGATTGTGCTTCATTTCTGACAACTCTTGTTGATGCAACCACTGCAATTTTTCAATTTCAATTCTCAATCGTCTTATCTGTAAGAAAAATACACAGGAATTAAAGAGTAAGTAAAGTTTCATATCAAAACCGACAGTGATGATCTAATTCACACTCTGTGTCTGAAGGGCCGAGAGTGAACTCCTACCTCTGCTATTGTGTTCCCTGAAGTACTCTTAGAAAGGTCGTTGTAGATTTCAGTCATTGAACCTTTGATTGCATCCATTATCTGGAAAAGACCATAAGGTTAAATGAATGGACAAGAATGATATACAAACCAACAGTTTCTTATTTTGTATTCCTTAAACAAATTCAATGTGGAGCTCAAAGATGTGTAGTATGAAA